GGGTTAATGAATCTGCATAATAGACTGTTAGATGTGTGCCAAACATAGCTACTTGAGGGAGGGTAGAATGGCTGGCACAGGTTTGACCTGGATAAGAAGGGACTTGGTACGTTGGTTGAACGGCACGGACGTAAAGAGATGTGAGGACATGTTGAGGATGCTAATTTATATAAGAGATCCACGCAAGATCAAGATCGGCAAACTGGCACTGGTAGAGAGCAGGGAGGTAGTGGCCAAGGTGGAAGGAATATATCCAATGTATGCATGGAAGGACATATGGGGTCGTTTAAAAGCGTTACGGTTACGGGCCAAGGTCAGAGATAATGTTTAAATTTTTACATAATATACTGCCGTCTGGGGAAGTGTTAGCGAATAGGCGCGTGCAGGAGGGGGGGGGGCAGTGTTGTGTGTGGGGATCTTGATACGGTCTTTCATGCAGTTTATTTCTGTACGAGATTGGAACCCGTAAGGGATGGGGTGGGATTAGTGTCTTAAGAGCTTTAAGTTTAGATTTGGGGGGGGGGGGTCGGAACACCGGTACAGAATGCAATCGGATATTTAGTGACTGATTTTGTATACACATCATGGGTACATAGGCATTTATCTGTGAGGGAGAGAATCAGAACACTGGTAGCGATTTTTTAAGGTACACAGCAGCGAAATAGACATTACAGGAAACAGATGGTTTTTATTATTTTCAGAGGGATATTGCAGATTCCATGTCAGGGATTTAAGGGCGTTAATACCTTAGAGAGTACACGAGGCTGGCTTCTTGAATATGGGTGTGGAGGTGGCATACGATTGGTACAGGTGCGGTATAATGTATAAATGCTAGGTATGATCGTTAGTTATGTTTTATTCAAAGAAATATATATAATATTACTTGGATACTATTTTTTTATTCTTATATTGATGTGGGTTAAGGGAGTGGATCTCTTGTAAAGCAAACTCATGCATGGCATGACAGGTGTTACGTAAAAGCACCTCGTGCAACTTATATATGTAGTTTTCATTTTATACTTTCCTTGTATTAGCCATGTGGCTGATACCTGGTAACGTTCTGCTTGGAGACTCCTGGGATACATGTTTGGAATATGACTAGATATGGAAGTTAACAATGTGTTTTTTCTGCACGTAGTCCTATTACCCATATTTGATCACTGTTGTGGATGCGATGATTAGTGTAACTGTTTCCTTTGACAGTTTAGTGGATGTATCACTCGTGTTCTTGTGTGTGTATTTTGTTTATATAAATCTTTTAATGTGTGTGTGTATAAGGTAAGAATGTGTGGTGTGTGTATGTTGCATAATGTTACTTGTATTAGCAATTCAGAATTATCCCATGATATTAAGTGGAACCCTTTGTGTACTGTACTGAATGTGTTTTGTATCATTGCAGTAATTCAGTAGATTGAGTACCGGAATCATTACATATCGTTCGTATTTGGATATTTTGTTATATATGCACTTATGTACAATGTTCGTATAAAGGTTTTAATGACATAAAATCAAACACTAATGCATATTATAGATGTAACGTTTCTTTGTTTATAATAATGTATATAATGTGTATTTGATTAATGTAACGCAGAATTTGTGTACTCTTGTTTTACCTTAGGTTAGATACATAATGCATAGGAGACGGGCGACAATTTGTCAACACGAAGTTAACCGTTCTAGCGTATATATTGATAATGGTAATTATACTTTTTGTGAATGAAATGAAATGTGATACTTTGTTTATTTAATGTATTGTATTGTTTTAAATAAATAAAATAAAATAAAAAAAAATCTGGTATTAAGGAAAGATACCACTTCTTGGAACCTTCCTTGTTATGGGAAAAGTCTCGGTGTGAAGGCATGTTAGATCCAGGCAATTTTAAAAACTAAATTTTCAGTGCAAACCTCATTGCCTTCATTTGCCTGATTACTCGCAACCATTACGGGTTTACTGCTCGGCAGTTTGACTAGCTATGCCACAAACTTGTCGATTATAACCAATGTGTATGAGGAAGTTTGACCTAGACTTGTAGTAATTTATCTTGGCTTCTTTTTTTCTTTCTGGAGGAGCTAGTATGAAGTGTGAATTTACATAAGCTGTTTCAAGGCCTCTTTGAGGCTGTGAACTTTCATATTCATCACCTTCGTTTTACTTCTGCGTTCATCAAATTCTCATTCCACGGTCGTGGACTTTATTTTTAATGAAAATAATTTGATTATTTTAAGTACTTACAGCAATAAATCGACTGTCTGAACACTGGAACTTCAGTTAGCACAATTGTTAGTGCATCAGGTACTTTTAAGGTGTTAGATAGACACTGTAACTAGAGCTTAACTACTCTAGGTTCTGCTCACTCCGTAGTGAACACTAAAGACTTGTATTTTTAATGTCAAGGTTCTGCTAGTTAAAATACTTAGTTTGTAGAAGATTCACTGGCATTGCTGGCTCCCTGAGTGTCAACAGTGCAACCTGGCCCTAGGTTAATGCCATGACAAGATTTATCCAGTGACTGTTGCAAATGGAAAGGTTTCTCAAAATGAAATTCAAGGCTACCTTTTATTAGTAGCACATTCTCCAGATATTAGTGGGCTAGTTTTCTCCTGTTGGTTTCCTTGAACAATTCTGTATTCCCCATAACTGCCTTCATGGGGGTAAGCGTTGTCCTCGCTATGCAGAAATGCTCCCAGCTCTCCGTTGTCTGCATGTACTCTTGACATCTTAATATCTTTCAAAACATCACAAGGACATTGAAAATCAATTTGCTATATTTGCTGCAAATGTTTGAAAGTTCCTGCACAGGGCCAAACTGCAAGTTAACTTCGTACATCCTCTATCGCTACTCAATATTTACACTTATTACCTGGACAAAGCTTCCAGTAATGAACACCTAGTAACGATGCTGGCACTGCATAGTTCGTAAGGCCTCTCGAAAGGCTGATGCCTCTTATGCAGGCTAATGACAAAGTCCATAAATAGTCACTCTGCTGTCTCCAACTTTGACAAGTACATTGAATTTGTTTTCCATCTATAACAATGTCACAGCATCAGCCACGCTTGCCTCGGCAATCATGACATTCATAAATATTGTAAAAACAGTTGTTCCGACAGTAATAGTTTTAAGCGCGATATGAACCAGCTGTCTGACTTTTTCTGATAAGTTTACGGGGTTTTGATTATTTGACATGTTCAAACAGTACGACACATGATAGGAAAATGTTGGCACAAAGAAGATCGAATCAAACTGGCTACCTGACAGATGTCCGTACGAGTTTGTTCAAATTGATCTCTAGCCAAAGTTCCGAAAGCCTTTATATCTAAATGTGAATTGACTAGTATAATGGCTTTGGCAACGGTGTTGCTCCCAATTAGTTACCATTCGGAAGAGAACTGGCGAGCCCTTTGCCTGTGCCATTTGGTGTTCGGACACTGGCTCCTCTCCTGGTTTGTAACCTCATGTCTGGTGAGACAGGTTGGTTTCACTCCCTGCTCTCGTCTGAGGTGCATCTTTGACGGCATTAAATGAAGACTTCACCCCCATCCAGCCCTCCACGTGGGCTGAGCCGCCAGTAATGACTCGAATTTCTTGGAGCATGATTCGGTTCATGCTTAGAAAATATAATGCTTGTTGGGGGTGGTGTTGGGATTGGTGCTTGCTCTTGGAGTGGTAGGGGAGGGGTTGAAGGTACTTACTGTGCGCCGTTACCAAAACTCTTCACTAGCTAGCTTGGTGCAAACCTCGCTGTTCTTGTCCTGATACCTGGCGCAGTCGGTTCCCGGTTCTGTGCAGTGATTGTGTGCTCTTTTCTGGTCCAATATATCATGAAATGATAAGTCACCATGCATGACCCAATGATGTTTTGTTTGAGCCTGGGCAATGTTTGTGTACCAGTGAAATTGACAGATAGACGGGGGCTGCTGTAGCAGTCTTAAAAAGGTCCATAGCCAGTGATGTATCCTTGGAAATGTATATCGCTGAATATACATGTGCATATGTATTCAGCATGGTCGTGTATATGAACCAGTGTTCCTGCCAGGAACCCAGAGAGTACAGACGACGTTCTCGCTTAGGAGAGGCACAAGAACCACTGTCTAGAACAGTGCTTGAACAGCACACGATGCAACATTGCCGAACAATTCTCTGTTGGGAACCAGAGATGGGTCATCACGAGATTAGGACCCATGCCAGGACCAGTCTTGGCGAACACGAGTACATGCATAAGCTACATTATCAAGATTGATGGACTGATCAGACTCCAGGCTAAGGGACTGATTGCCTTACTTTTTATCTTACACCAACTTCCGTATTGAAACTGGAGCCACTGGATGGCGAAGCCTTTGCAAGTGTTGCAAAGTGCGTAGTTTATAAACCGTTCCTACATCTATACAATGACGTAAATAACCAGTCTCTTCCCTAAAATATTATGGTAGTGCTATTATGATTTATATTCGTACTATTCTAATTTGCAGATCGGTCAATGGGTCAAACCCCCTGCGTTCTCCCTCCTTCCCTACTTTTGTTAATCTGGAACTAGTACGGGCTAGAAAGACGGGGTTTTTTCTCTAAAAACTTTTTTTTTTTTGGATTAATTAAAAATATTTTCAAATATTTTCTTTATCTTGCATTTACAGCAAAATGACAATAGGGAAAGTTCGGCATTGCCCGTCCATGACTATGGGAAAACTTATCACATTTTAATTTGCTAGAGCTTGACAGAGTTTAGTGTGGGTCATTTTTTTTGAAAGTTTGGCAGTCCAGGAAATGCAGTTAAATTTTGCTATTTTTGAATTTCAAATTATTAAGAACGGCACTGATTTGTTAGGGGAAAATGTTATAGATTTGACTGACACGTACATAAACACTTTTTCTGAAAGATTTTACTTTAACCTTAAAATTTTGGGTTTTTATGCAAAATGTGGAAATGTACATAAACATTAATAGTTTCAATTTTTAAATCTCAAGGAAATTTGGGCATTGCATCTCTTGCAGATTTGAGTAAACATGGCGGGTACTACCGGGTGTAGTAGTGCTGGCAGTTACGCGGGTCACTACCCTGCGACTACCCCGAACTACTGCTTTTGCATTCCAGATTTCCTAAGTTCGGAAGCTTTTTTCCCCCATCAAATTTGCCCCGGAAATTAATTTTGAAAGGGTAAGTAATGACTTTGTAAATGGTCCAAGTCGGACCGAAACGTCGTCGTAAGCTCTTCTATGTACGAGTTATTTGTTATGTTTAATGTACAAGAATTAAACTTTGCTACATTTTTTAAATTTTAATTTTCTGTAAACTAATTGGATAATTTATTAAAGAAAGTAATAAGACTCAAGAAATCGTAATGACACGATTGCAAACGGGCTGGAGTTTTGAGAGACTATGACCGCGAGTTCAATCCCGGCCGGGGGTATGGTTTATGGTTAAGAAAGTAATATTTTTTAATACGTGTTTTTTTTCGGGGAAAAAGCCTGTAAATTGTGGGTTTTTAGCGTTGGGTTAAAAAGTGTTAAAATTTTTTGGGAAATTTTTAATCTTCCCAAATTTACAATTTGTAAAATTTTTTATAAATTGGATTAAAAAGTGATCTGATTTGCCCTTAGGGAATTTCGATTTATGGGGAGGGGGGTTTTAGAACGCCCGGGGAATGAGGCGCGGGAGGACCCCTTTTATAATTGAGAGCCTGGTGAGGAAAAAATGCAATATAATCAGGCTCATCTAGTTTCGTGGTGTATATCGGCTTTAATCGTAATTTTTGAGACTGCTGTCACGTTCCCGCTGAAGAATTGGGGTATGTGGAAAACCCATACAAATTCAGCAGCAAGGATGGAAAAAGTGGACACATTTTTCCAGGCATAACTTTGGCTAAAGCGAGTCTTACCCATAAGTTCATAGTTTTTGCATTGGGCCCTCGTAAATTTTAGCTGTTTTTGTATGTTGGGTATTTTTCAAAAAAAAAAAAAAAAAAAAAAAAAAAAAAAAATCCCAAAATTAAAAGGTAATTGGGGAATGCGATTTCTTTTTTTAATAGCAACGTTGTATTGTATTTTACTAAGTTATTTTTGAGTACCCCGCTGTAAATTAAAAAAATAAAGATAATTTTTAAAATTCCAAATGTTGTTTTCATGTTTTAATTAATTTGAGGGCTCGAGGGAGTTAGGTCTGCGACCTATTGTGATTTAAGTCCCACTTACCTCGCCCAAATTATTTGCATGTAATAATTCTGGTAATGCCCTGTAAACCTCGTGCAGGTAATTTGCTCTCATAATAATTGACATAGTACTGTAGAAAACTGAGTTTACTGCAAGTCATTGGCTGATAACCTAATTAGGAAAAGGCTAACAGCTTTACCTTTCTCACAGGAACTCCACCTCCACACTGGGATCACTTTCATACTTTTGGATTTTTATTTCTTAAATTCATGATACTTTATCTCTTGGCACTACTCATCACTCGTCACAATTACCTATAATATCACGGTCACTTATGATTATTACAGGTTTAGCGTTGCGCATGAATTACTGTCCAGTTGTGAAAGCCAAATCAGAACCAGCAGTATTAGCAGAAACTTCTCAACAGATGTAAACATTAGCTTTGTATATTACACAATTTTCTGTTCTCGTACCTTCACTTTTCATCCTCTGAGCGTGCTCGCTTTAAAGATTAATTTATCCTCTACCTAGCTAAATCTCCATTTACTGTGTTTTTTAAATAAAATATAAAAAAAAAATCTCCATTTATGTAAAATTGTAATAGCTCTTGGTATACAATTTATTTTTTTGTATGGTAAAACCTTTAAGTTCGTGGTTTTTCATGAACTGGTCCTCAAGTCTCTTAATTTACCTCAGTTTTTGGAGACTGACGCAATGTTTAAATGTAATATCTTTACGTTCATTGATTTTTTTTCAGTACTCCGGTATCTGGTTCAGTATAGAGAATGTACCGAACGAATACACTTCTGTAACGTCGTGCTCCATGACCAACTACACATGGACAGGTTGGTTTTTAATTTATACCACTTCATTTCTCCCTCCTTACTATTTCTATTTTAAAAACTAACAGTTTTAGAAAGTCTTCTAATTTAAAATTCTGGCTTTAGTAGTATATCCATTATAATACCGAAATTTACCAAGTATTATAGAGCTTTCGTAAACAGCTGGGGCAACTTTCATTTTTGGCAATGATCCTTTCTGCAAGACCAGTTTCAAACCAGTCCGTGCTTGATATCAACGCTAATGGAGTGATGGCGGCACCACTACACGAGGATGGGTATGGGGTGCATAATAAACATATTAAACTAAAACTAACCGTGTGTTAATGTTTAAAGTTTAGACCCGGTAGGAAGCCTTTTAAGATGACTTACTTTTTTTTTTAACCTAAGACTAAACATGCTTGTTAGTCTCTTGACAGAACTCTGCAGTACGCCGCTTCCTTGCTTAAAGTTGCCTCTGTGTAGCCAAGGTAGGTTACCACTAAATGAACGGAAGGATATATAATCATCCAGTGAGGACGTAAATATTTCGGGTACACCAAGACACTGACAATCACGCAGAATGCATTATACTTGCTCACCTGGCTCACTCGACAGCAAAGGATGTTAGAGAGGTATAGGCGTTTTTTATTGCACTTTAAACTGATGTGCCAGAGCGCAATGGGCATATTGTTTCGTACTTTGGTATAAAAGTATTATCAGTAGTATGGGAATGAGGTGAAGTAGGTAGTTGCAAGTCACCTTAGACTGAAACCAAGCATAATCCAATGTGGTACGCTGACAGGCAATGATTTATATTCGGCTCCACTAAATTTAAGATTAACAGTTACTAACAAGGTTAGCTCATTCCTAGTCATCTGTCAGCTAGAAGGCCACGATGCTATACTAAGAACTAGTCAACATGCAACTGCACATGCTAATCAGTTAGTTTCGTCAGCTAAGATTTTGAACAATTTTTCTAAGCATTCGTTAGCAACTGTTAATGAGCAACCTGAATAGTGTCTCTGAAGCATATACTTTGTTTGCCCTGTATGTTGGCGACCCTACGAGTTTGACTTTGTACGTGGGTGTCAAAATGTCTAATCTGTACTTAGGCGAGGTTGTGTGCACATGATTGGTGTACAATACAGAAAGATGAAAATTAGAAGTGTACAACATCTGGCTATCTTGTAGACGTTTCGTCATCCAGTTGGAAGACACTAGAACTATATACAAAAGATGAGGTAATCAGTCCCTCAGCCTTTGTCGCCTCAACATGCGATAACTTTAAGATAGTTCTCTGGTCGGCTTTAAACCTTAAACGCTGGTGAATTTCGACAACAGTTTGGATTAATTTGTGAATGCCAATTTATTTTCAAAAACTGGAAAAATGGGAAGTTTTAAAACCATTTGTGAATGACACGTTTAATACTTAACTTTTTATTCAGTGCAGAAGTCAAATAACTTTTTCTTTATTATGAAGATCACCTTCATGCGGTGATCACGAGTGAGCTTCAGTATCCAGTCTCTATCACGTAATGGTTTTTTTTATATCGTATGATCAATGTTTTTGACTAAGGTTGAAATTTGTCTAAGGTTGAAATCATAGGAATTTCATTATGAATAAATATTCAGTGCGGTGCATCCAATGACGAACTAACATTACCGTAAAATTCATTATACATTTAGATAACAAAATTTAATTTGTCATGCAAACATATTTATCACTTCTAGATTTGAATTCAGCTTCTGAAAATTTGTCTAGCTGGTTTTGACAAAATTGTTGGCGAGGATTAGATTTGTATCTTCTCCGCCAGTAACTTAATGCAACTTTTGATCGGCTTCAAACTTTATATATTTTGCTATGCTGATCTCGTGATAACTAGACGAATGTCTTGGATTGCTTTCAATATTGATGTTTTTAGTTGGTTCAAGTTAGTTCAGTGTTGTGGAGGTGCTGATTTTCCTTATTTTTTTTGGGTGAAACTGGGATTAGTGTGATAACTTGTAGACGTCACTACAGATTGGCATCAGACCTTACTCTAATATTTAATTGTATTAAAAACTTTAGACGCGCATTGCACTAGTTGTCGGGTTCCTAAATTTCGAGGTTATGAATTGAGGAAGCCTTTACCAGATCGCGTGGTGATCGAAGTGTAATTATTCTGCGAAACGCTTGTTTCATTGTAGCATTGCTATAAGATTTTACTAAAAATTTATTTAGATATGTAATTTGAAAACCCAGTGTATATGCATATGGGAAAACACTCGTTAAAGAAATTAGTTTTAAACAGAGCCTATATGAAGCGTTTATCCATCCAAATACTTCTAAAACTAAAAAAAAAAAAAAAACTATTTCACTATTGCTACGCCATGGAGTTAATTTTTTTCATACTTGCTCTTAAATTTTTATCCCTAGCATATTTTTCATTGGTCTTGTCACATTATTAAAGTACATTCTACGGTACATGTTTTATGGGCACAGGTGACCTGATGACAGTGATGGAGCGAGGCCTAGACCACGAAGGCAGAAAGGTACAGAGAGCTTCCGTGATGAGACGCTCTGAAGACCAACCTGGGGTTCTAACAGTCGAGGCTGATGGCGTGCCAAGCGCTCCTTACGTGGTCGGTCATTATTCTTAGTTTTCTTAGAAACCTGCACGTCTTTACCTCCTATGTGATTCTTCTGTTACTTTCCCAAAGCGATTGCCGCTTTAGAGCATCTAAGATATTTTTCATTTTCAAATTTTTCAAATTTACTTTTTTTAATGAAAGGTAATCTTCCTTCGCATGATTTGCATATAGATTGTGTACAGATATTTAATGTGTGCTTAAAATGCTAAATAAATAAAAGGTATCTGCAGTTATTAATGTCTAGTATTTCCTCGCTTGTTAAACTTTTCCCCTCGTTTTTTCGTGCTGGGTGAACGTGGCGGCTTGCAACCACCACGGATGCAGGTGGTGGGAACAGACTACGACAACTACGCCTGCGTACACTCCTGCATGGATTTCATGGCGTTCCGTGCAGCGTTCTCCTGGGTGTTCACCAGACAACCCACTCCTGACCACTCTTACCTCCAGCTTTGTCGAGACATTTTTGAGAACAATGACATAGACCAGAGTTCCATGGAGCCTATGAAGCAAGGGAAGGTAAGTGAGTAGGGAGTGCTGGTGGGTCCCGTAGCTGGAGCGCAATAACTGTTAACACTGGTGTTTCTGACACTGGTAATGTTAGCACTGGTTTGATGCACACATGAGATACTATAACATTTAAGTATAAGGGAAAATGATTAACTTAGAGGTATTACTTTGTCATGAAGACAATTAAGTGTCTTCGCCATTTATATTTAATTAGGCTTCAAGGTAAGACAGAGAACAATGAATACATGTATAATTGCTTTTAGAAACCCTCCACAGGTTAAAAATTAAAACTCGAATACTTGTTTCCTAGGACTGCCCATACGCAGAGAAGCTGAATTCCCTCTTGGTCTACAGCCAAAGTATCCAAAGTAAGGCGAAGGCGAAGGCATTAAAGGACGGTACAAAACTAGTGGCCGCCGTGAGTGTTCCTGGACAGACTGGAGACAGCATAAACCACACACACCCTCACCACCACAACAAAAGCACTAATGTACACGAGAGACTGAAAACTTTTATGGACGACGAAAAGAAGGTAAGAATTTTAATGGCTTAACCTGTTTTCAAGGGTAGATATCATAGGAAGGTGTAAAATGAGAGTAAACTCCGCGAGAATAGTATACGAATAAGTTCTAGCAAGTTATACGTAAGGAGTATAACAATGAGGGTATGATCAGAAAGATCGGCCGGGCCACCACTTGGAAAAGGCCCGGGCCGGGAGAATACCGGCTAATCTTTAATAATAATAATCAGAAAGATACTTTGAGTGTATCATATTGACGGCGTCCTGCGCTGCAGTGTAACAAATCTTTCATGCAGTTAAATGTGGTGAAGATCTGAAATAGATGGGACGGGACATTCACAAGTTATGCCACGGAAACTATCCCATTTTCAATAAAAGAAATTGGAAAATACACGGCCCATAAAATAAAGCATTTAAGTCCCAGCATGAAAGTTTAAAGCCAGTCAAAATAAGCATTAAAATATTCAAGTTTAAGAAAAGTTTGTTAAATGCACACCTTTCTTTAAGCAGTTTGAAGCCGCTCGGAAGATACTTTCTCGTTGCAGAAAATAAAATAGTATCACACATTTATACCATGATGATAATTAGAACATTCATATGGGGATAAACTGTTATAAGAATTTGAAGCTGCTCGAAAAAGGGGTTCTTCATTCCTCACCGAAGCCCGCTTCCTGCACCGTACATAACTGCAACAATGACACGCGCCACACTTTCCAAATTTTCCTCTAAGATGAGCCAGTGCTGAAAGTTAGTCTTAATCTGTCATCCTCAACATACTGTGCAATCTTTGGATGCAGGGGAAGGTGGGTAAAAATTAAGTGAAGCTCAGGTGAAGCCCCCCCCCCCCCTAAAAAAAAATTAAAGGTTCGCTAAACCTGTGAATACTTTACACCATAAAAACATGTTAGGGTTCGTCTGTTAAGCTAAAGCAGATCAGGAATGTTTAATGCACGGACAGAAGAGGCAGCTGTACAAATTTTACTGGTGACTTCAACTTTGGGAGCTAATTTGGGGAATTTTAAGTTAAGATATTGTACACGTGTGAGTGTGGGGGGGGGGGGAGTGTGTTCTATAAATGTGCAGCTTAACAATGTGAGAAAAGGTAGGGGGGAGGGTTGAAGTATAAGGATGTAAAGGCCATAAATCTTCTTGTGCCGAGTAATATCCTGTCTCAATCTTCCTCAGACACTAACACTTTGCTGGGCTATACCAACAGCACATTGAGGAACTAGAGGAGGAGGAGCGCAGGTTGATGCGCACACTGGAGGCAGAGCTGCGACGGGAAAGTGAAGAGATTCAGGATCTTCGCAGTGAGATCATTTAGGGAAATTAAAAACACCATTATGGACAAGGTCAGTCATTTGAAGGATTAGACGGCCGATGGGCTAGACAGCCTAGTATAATTTGGCAACTGGGGGAATCATTTTGATGCAAGTAATTAAATGTATAACGTTAGGTCAACAGTGGATGGAAGCTAATAAAGGCAGTAAGTGTGATTAGTATATTAGCAGGTGGGCAGCTGTCGTAAGTTTGAATATAAAGACAAATATAGAAATTGCTGAGTGGTACAGGTCGTAGTCTTGCCGTTTTCTTTTCAATAAGATACTTGTAAAGTTTTCTTCTGAAACTTGTGTGTGATTTCAAATAGTGCTCAAGTTTAACTTGGTCTCATTAATCAAATCCATGGTTGAGAGATCTGTTCATAATTTTCACTTAGTGATAGAATCAGTTACAATATGGACAGGTTGGCAGGGAATACCAGAGCTTCGTCCACCTTGTGGCTACACCTCACTGTAATACATATTTTGGTGGCCTTTGCTTCTTAATATATTTAGTCTTAAATTTCTTGGCTTAATTTTATGGTGGTGAGGGCTGTGAACGGATGTATTTCTTTTTATAAAGCATTTTTTGCCGTGCCTGAATTATATCCATTGCCATCTTGTGCAGTCATATATTTGAACTTGTCTCTACCTCGCTTTGCACCTTAGAAAAAATGAAATGCTCTTCTTATGCTTAAGACTCGTATTGTCATTTTATATTGTTCTTCACTGGTTCTTTAGACTGGTTCTCCCCCCCCCTTTTTCCCTCTGAGATAAGTAATCAATGTACCGTAGGTTCCTAGACATCTTACTGGCTTGGAAATATATGTATAAAATACACATTGGAAATATAAGCATCTTACTGGCTTTATTAAATAGTTTAGGAAATTCTTTGATAAATGCACTTGTACAACATTTAGGTTTTTTTTTTTAGCCTTCTGCAAGCCAGTGGCTTCAATCCGATTCAGAGCAAGTCTGAGGAAAGTCCCTCAAGCCTGGAGTCACTGTTGTCCACCAATCTTTAAGTGCTGTATACTGCAGACAAACGAGGTGGAGCAGTGGCAGGCGGAGTCGAAAGTTGAGAAACCCACTAGTGAAACTGGGTGATGCAACATCTTAGGATCTTTATGTAGGAAATTCTAAAAATTTTCTTACCTAGAGGCATGACCTACTTCCACTAATGGATTTCTCCACTGGTAACTCCGCCTACCACTGGTCCCTCATCTGTCTGCATTACGTAAGCTCTGCGAATATGCTGCTCTTATCAAGACTGACAGACTGAACAGACAACAGGCTGAGGGAGTATTACCTAAAAATCCTCCTGTGTCTGCATGGAACTGAAGAAGCCACTGGCTGGCGAAAAATTAACAGAATAAAGAAACTCAAATTGCACAAGTCTTACTGGTTGGCACCTGATCCTTTAAGCTTGTGCAGCATTTTTTTCGTTTTCCATTAAACCATCAATGTATTTAACAAAGGAATAATTGGAGGCGGAGGAGGAATACTTGGAGGAGGAAACTATTATTCTGCTGAAAATAGTCCCATTTTATTGGCTTTTCTATCACCGGCTAAATTTTCAGTATTTTCTTAAGGACAATTAGTGCATTTATGACCACTATTGTCCATTTATCGTATTGTTTACTGGTCACTATTGTACCACAGCCTGTATTTTAGCTAAAAAAGTTTGTACATTGTTAGTGTCCAACTTCCCTCATCGTTAGCATCTTTATAGACCAATGTTGCATCTTCAACTAATCTCGCTGAACTTGAAGATCCAAATCATTTGAAAATATTAAACTAGTTGCTATGTGCATAATCGAGGTAGGTTCCTTGACCTCCTGACCTCCCACTCCTTGGAAAGAACCTAATGACCACCTATTACCCTGGGAACTGTACGACCTCTACGGGTTTAGCGCTCATCAATGTAATACAATGTATATGCTGATAGTTTTATTACTTCGTTAATCATATGGTCATAGTGTATAAAGTTAAATATGTTGATAGCCTCGAGTTGGTCTTTTCGAGGCTGGTCTAGGAAGCTTTGATAATCTGGCGTTTAATTATATGTATACCACTAAAAGGACCAGAGAAACTATTATTTATGCGTACTAGCACTAAGATAAAGGTAAAAATGCTTGAACTTGCATAATAGTGTGATTGCTGCCACATGTGTATGTACCGAATGTTTACAAGGCGGTGTCAGTACCTGAAATAAGAGATTTAGATAAATTTCAGGTAGACTTGTGTGTGGATAAATGTATTTATTGGTAGAGAGTGACTAACTCGTAACAATATTTTCTCCTGCCTTCAGAACGAACGAGCGGAAGTGATAAGCCTCGTCAGAGCAGCCTAGTCGTCTTAGGGGTAGTTAGTGCCCTTCTCACCACGACATGGCTGTAAATAAACTATATAGGCCTACATCTACCAGTATATAACAAGTTTTCCTAAAGTGTGCTGTGTTCTCCAAGCTTTACCAGGGAGTAAGTTAAGACTTCCGCAGTATTATTTAAGTAGCTAATATTTCTAGTTTTAGTTTTTCTAGTTTTTTTTTCGGTGTGAAAATCTGTGTTGGAAAGTTTTGTTTTGTGTTTAATGAAAAGTTCAGGTTGTGTAGGAAGGTCCGTAAATCCACCACGACCATTGAATAAGGGTGAAGTTCATGGATTAATAGATTAATAGTTGGGAGGAGTTGCTTCTGGACAATTTCATGCAGTTTATAAGATGGAAAGGAAATAAGCAAAGCAGGAGAGTGCAAGATTATGAATAGGTCAGTCAGGGTGAGTCTTGCAACTGCAAGAACGTACACTACAAAATATTTTCAAAAATAAACTTAAAACAATAGTTAAAGCTTGGTTTTCAGTTTCCTAGCAGACTAACCAAAATTAGTTGAGAACCCCCCTAAAAAAGTATTAATGTAACAAGAGGCAGAGGCAAGGTAAACAAAAGTTTAAGATAAGATTTTGTTTGGATTTTTAACCCCGGAGGGTTAGCCACCCAGGATAACCCAAGAAAGTCAGTGCGTCATCGAGGACTGTAACTTATTTCCAGTGGGGTCTTTAATCTTGTCCCCCAGGATGCGACCCACACCAGTCGACTAACACCCAGGTGCCTATTTGCTGCTAGGTGAACAGGACAACAGGTGTAAGGAAACGTGTCGAAATGTTTCCACCCGCCGGGAATCGAACCCGAGCCCTCCGTGTGTGAAGCGGGAGCTTTAGCCACCAGGGCACCGGGACACCACAGCTGTTTTTACTAAACCTCTTACCTCCGACGTTGTCACTGCTCTAACATCCTTTATCTTCCCTCCTCGCTGACGGCCCCACCTTTGACACTGACGTTTTGACAGCAAGAAACTTGTTATACAACCTTTGATTATACTTCCTTTAGCACTCTTCACCGACCTTACAACCTCTACTCTGCAGCGCTGTATGGCCCTGGTGACTGAGCACTTATTTCATTGTAATAACAATCCACCACCTCTTCACTGAAACAGTTTGGTTTCACGACCCACAGAGGAACCAACATACCATAAATATCTTTGATGTTGACAGCCTGCGTAAACAGGGCAACCTTGGCCTGATGGTGACTTTACGTACACAAAGCATTTGACAGTCTATGGCACGATGGCCTCTTGTTTAAATCTGTTGATTTTCCAGATCATAACTGGACCTTTCTTAGACTTGCACAAGTTCTTAACCAGTAGAAGAATCAACCTCCTCCCCCTTAACTGCAAGACACTTGTGGGTTTAGCGTTTAGTTTTGATTATTATAATTCAACTTCAAGACAGCAGTCTTCACACCTGAAGTGCCACAATGATCATCCCTGAGCCCTATTCTCTTATATATACATATAATTATATATAATATAAATTACCTTCTCCCAACAAGAAAACACTTGCTCAGTTTGCCGACTGTTATCTATGAAGTATCATCCACTTCTGCATATGGAAAAAACGGGCATGAAGGGTGATAGATAAAATGGATACAGAATTGCGAACAGCCAACTGGGGGAAGAAAGAATCACTACCAATACTGACAAGGTCATCAGCACCATTGGATATTATGCCTCGATTGATAATGGGGGGGGTCGTCTCCATCAAAAGGTATACCATTCACTTAAAAATCCGAACGAGATCCTGGGCCGAGACAGATTAGTCCACTACATTACATGTCTCCAAAAACAGCAAACTTAGCAGAAGTCCGCCTCAGTCAGCTATCCAGATTTAACAAGCCCCCATCCCCTCTATCAAGAAGCACCCAAGATGAGACATGCTTGAATATCCTTGCGTGCTCATATCGTAACAATAAACACGTTACAGCTGCAAAGTCCAGAGAGTAGTTCTGCTTTATCACGGGCACCAAACTGAGGGACAATCAGAATGGAAAGATCTGCACATCCAACAGGAGAGACTCAGTCAGGCTTGACAGGTTAAAGAAGCGACAATTATGCCAAACAAGAACCATGTATCAAACGGAAAACTCGCCAGCCAACCAACACCACTGACTACATAAATACACCTCCCCATAGAACCCATGGGATGTCCCTCTAACAGAATCCGACGTTTCATACACAAGGAGAATTTCCGAAGATCAAAGATTCTAAATATCCTTACTGTTGATGCCTTACATCTAAGTAGCATCTGCAAACCACCTACGGCAGGACACCTCACCAACTCCAGCAAGCCCCTTAAAACTAGCCCAAATCTTTCCTCTTGGCGCTGAGTGTATTAAAAAAAAAAAAAAAAAAAAAAAAAAAAAAAAAAAATTACAGAAATTTACCCACCACCAATTCAATGTCATGCAAGTATGCTTCTTGTATTACAAGCTCGTGTCTGATGAGTAGTGGTATACACGACCATCTGATTATGCATGACACTTAATATACGCCAGAGTGGTTGGGCCACTTGCCTTTATTACCCCTTCTCACCCCCCCCCCCTCACCCCTTCTTCACATTCCATCCTCGCCAGTCTTCCTTCCGAAACTTGCCAAACCTCTGGTTAAAGAATTTAAATTAACATATTTAAATGTTAGTATATTTTCAGCAACACCAAATGAACTCTGTAAGGTTAAGTTTGTACGCTTTGATATGTCCGATCGATTGTCATCTCAGGATTAATATTCATGCTTTGTGGTCGTATATTCGTCAGGACACTCTTGACACGGGTTAAGCTGGCCAACCCTAGCTAAGGTTTCCACCCCATTAAAAGTAGCTACAGTGGCGAATCCTAAGATGACACCCTTACGGGTATCCTAAAGACAATTTATTAGCGAAGAAAGTGATCATTTAGCATTAAGGTTTGAAACGTACCCACAAGAGGTAGCAAATAAAATTGATGCATAATGTAAGAATGCTTAAAAATAAGAATACGAATTTGTATATTTTGTATATTGCAGAATTATTTGCTGAAAAATTGTACAATACATTGTCAACAGTGCCTCATAATAGCCTCCAGAATTCATGTTTGCATCCGCCATGATGTATGCTATATTAAACCATTCTTTAACTAGAAAAATAGCCAGTTCCCCAGAACATATCCAGTTTTCGTATTACAAGGTTCCAAGAGAAACCCAAGATGTAATTTGTATTTTTCTTTTTTTTCAAAATAAAGAATTAAGTAAACTACTGCATTTTCAGTGGCCCTAAAACTTTCTCCAGAGAGAATCTTATTTCTTCCTGTGGACAGTACATCGTGGAGAGGCGCCCTGTTCCGCTCTGAGAATGGTTAGGTTCGTTTGTTTTGCCGTATTCTATTGGACTGTCCGGTCTTGCAGCTTGCACGCAGAATTTACCTCAGTCATCACTAACACTATCTTCCCTCCAGTATGGCGGCCCCATCTATGACAGACTCCCTCTTTGACTTCTTGAAAGCAGCCGATTTATTAAACTTTGATAATACTTACTTTAGCATTCGCAGCCCTTTCTAACTTTACATTTGTTTTCTCCACCCTCGCGAATCTCTCCAGCAACACTCCCTGCCCTACAGCGCTGTTCCTAGTGGGTTTAGCTCTTTTTTGATTACAATTATCCCCGTGGACAGTGTTCTCGTGATGGATGAAATATGGATACCATTGGCCACAGTGGCTATGGCTTGATTAACATCCCGGCCCCCATGCCAATGGATGGCATCTTGGCAAAGAAGCACTTGATCCGAGGAATTAGGCCTTCGTCCCATTGATAGTCTAAACCCCCTTACCCTTTCCACCCCCACCCCCCCCGTCCATTCGTCCTCATTTTTGGAAAAATTTCCCCGCATGAAATATTCTGTTTAGACAAAATGGAGAGGAATCAATATTCCCGATCTTTATCCTAGGAACTGCCTTCCCCTCTTAAAACATATTGTCATGACCAGTAAGATTCATTCTCTCTCCTGGACTCTTGGTTCATTGTCTACCAGGATTCCCAATATGATCTGCCTTCGTCCAGAAAGACTGCGTCCACCCTGTGGTACTTACGATCCAGGAGTGGTAAACTGGTCTCCAGGCGCCACACAACCATGTAGTGTTGTGTGGCGCCTGGTGACCTGCATGTGAAGTAATAATCTGACCCTAACACTTGCACATTTATACATATACACAGTTTTTACTCTCTCTCATTGATATGAAGGCGGTGATGAGCGCAATGAGACTGAATCAACTCTTCCATAAGACATAGAAGATTTAGCTTCCATATACCTGGAGTTTACCTGGAGAGAGTTTCGGGGGTCAACGCCCCCGCGGCCCGGTCTGTGACCAGGCCTCCTGGTGGATCAGCGCCTGATCAAACCAGGCTTGTTGCTGCTGGTCTGTCAGCAAACCAACGTACGAGCCACAGCCCGGCTGATCAGGAACTGACTTTAGGTGCTTGTCCAGTGCCAGCTTGAAGATGCAGGGTCTGTTGGGAATCCCCTTATGTTGCTGGGAGGCAGTTGAAAAAAGTCTCGGGCCCCTGACACTTATTGTAAGGTCTCTTAACGTGCTAGTGCACCCCTGCTTATCATTGGGGGGATGGGCATCGTCTGCCAAGTCTTTTGCTTTCGTTGATGATTTTCGTGTGCAAGTTCGGTCTAGTCCCCCTAGGGGTTTTCCCCGGGGATATAATCATGTTCTCTCCCCCCGGGGTTCCAGGGAATACGGTTTAGAAACCTCAAGCGCTCCCAGAATTGAGGTGGTTTATCCCGTTAGCGTGCCGTGAAAATTCCCCTGTACATTTTTCTAGGGGCGGCAATTTCAACCCGCCTTGAAAGGGCTGTTAGAGTGCACAATATTTCCCGCCTAGATAGAACAAGTGACCTGAAAGTGTCACAGGGCTTTGGGCCTCCCCCAGTTTTGAAGGGGCTCATTATCCACCTGTCATTTTTCTAGCAATGGATGGAACAATGTTATGGTCCCTTTAAGGGGAGATCCCCGACATAATCACTCCCCCGGTCTTTTAAAGTTTGGGGTTTTTGCTCTATTTCGTGGCCAAATTTGTTTTTTTACTCTGAGAAGATTTAATTTCCTATGTTTTTCCCTATCTGAGTAATTGAAATTTCATTTGGGGAACTTCTATTGCGGACAAGTTTTACAGTGTTTTGGATTTCAGTAAACGGGAAATTTCCTGACGGGGGGTCTTATCATGACCCCAGCTGCAGCTTTGGTCTCTGCCCGAGGCCTTCCACTGTTCCCCTCAAGTAGGTAGGTTTTTGGAGGAAAAGGAAAAAACTTTTCCTGACGCGGGTCTGTCATGACTCATAGCTGGAGCTTTTGGTAGTCTCGCCGAGCCCTTCCACTGGCTTACCGGTCCACATCTTTAAAAATCATGGTTATGATTATAGCCATTTAGTGGGTCCTAATGTTTGTGGTAAATACGCCTTAAATCGCCATACGC